GTTTCATAGTATTTTTTTTTGTATTATGTACTATCTATTCTTATCGGTTAGCTGTGTTTTTTTCTTTTGCTGAATTGTAAATATTTCATTAAAATGAAAAGTTTTAGGATTACAAAGTGAATCATATTCCTATAAAGATGATTCCACGGCAAAAAATTAAAACATGGAATCATATTACATGAACGGTTTTCAGTCCGCCTACTCAACATAACCATGATGGAAATGGAGTTATGGCGAAGTGATGACGATGCTATTTGTTCTTCCTAATTCTATTAGGTGTGTTGATAATGCGAGACTAACCGAGAGCCGAGAAAGCAAAAACCAATGCTATAGAAGCCGTTCAAAGGTGGCCCAAGAAAGTATCGTCAACGGTAACGTCTTCCAATCTTTCGATCACGTACTCCTCTCGCGTCCCGTGAGAACGGATGAAAGAACAATTTCATGAGCTTAACACAGTCAAGAAACCTCACAAACCACTCAAGGGAACGGTGCAAGCTCACCCAACCACTTGCTCCTGGAGATGGTGTACAGAGCCGGATAAAACAGTAGCCACTACACCGATCCCAATGGTCTTACTAGCTCCTCTAAAACCTCGATAAAGAAACTCAACTCCAAACTAACTAGCAACACACCAACAACAACGTAACATCAGGAGTAAGACACAAATAAACACCAAGTCCAAACACTATCATCAAAACTAGGATTACAATGCTGCAAACACAAGAGAGAGAACGCATCCACCACCAGTAGCTAAACCAACTCAAGATTACAATGCTGTGTTTTATAATCACAAATAAAATTATGTAGGTTCTTAATATCCACGTATTGTCCAAAACAATTTAAAAAAAAAAAAAAAATTAACCCAGACAAGAATTGTGCCAAGAATTTATGGTAATTGACTAACTGTTAGCTTGCAAACATTTTTACTCGTGCATGTACAGTTCGCACGGCCCATATTGAATTGATCAAATCTAACCAGGCCCAGTTTCTAACTATCATTATCATAGATTAGGCTTTGTTAACATAGCTTAGTTCTTATATGGGCCTAACTTGTTGAAATTAATTTTCCTCAATTAAATCAATAGTGGAGTGTTTTAAAACATAAAAATAATAAGAACATTTTTATTTCATTTTTTTTCTTTCTTTGAGAATGCGTAGCATGATCATTGAACTTCATGCCTGCGCAACAATTAAGCATTCTCATCCAAACAAAATTTAAAATCTATTAAAAAAACCCCAACAAATTGGAGTTAAAATTATATTAATCAGAGTATTAAATGGATTAAATTTGATGTATCGTCGTAACGCAGAAAGTTACTTAAGGTTGTATAGAAGAAAAAAAAACAATTTCTTATTCGGTGGTTGAAATTATTTATTGCTAATTACATTTTTTAACAGAAAATTATTGAATTAATAATCGGACTAGTTCTTCTCAAAGTATTATTAATACCAACCATAATGAAAATTGAATATTTACGTTTTCTCAC